ACCTAAAATCTCAAAGATCTAGCTACTTAAATCCTCAAAATATGTCAAAATAATTCTATTTAATAGAATTATCAGGTTTCGAACTGTTTCCTTTTGGACCTTTGAATGATAGGAGATCCATTGATTTAATTGTTTATTTCTTTTATTCAATCTCCTCACCACCGGCTTCTATCGTAAGTTTACAAATACATGAGTCCATCAACACTTTCATTGTTCACTTCACTATTAAATCGATGTTCCCTAATGTTTTGTCTAAAAAATTTACCTTTGTTTTCGTATTTTTTTCAATATTATTCTCTGTTTTTATTCCTTATTTCATGAATATTCAATCGTATTCTTATCTATTACATAAGTTTCCTCATTAGCCACGCGGAGAGCTTATGTCCACAGAAAAAAGATAAAACATTGAAGCAGAAAGAGAGGAATATAAGGCCTGTGTGCAACGCACGGGCCATAGTCTAGTTATATATAAATATAATCTCTTACCATTCAACCCAAGCAGCTCTTTCTCAAGCTACAATGTGCCCTACAACGTATGCCCTTCTCTTAGCCTTCCTTGCAGCTCTAATCTCTTTACTTTATATCCTACATTCCACCTTCCGGCCAAAACACTCTAAAAATGACCGGAAGCTTCCTCCGGGGCCTTGGGCACTGCCAATTATAGGCAACCTCCACATGTTAGGCAAGCTCCCACACCGAACCCTTCACCACTTAGCCCAAAAATATGGTTCCATAATGTCAATAAGGCTAGGGTATGTACCGACAATCGTGGTATCATCACCTGAAGCTGCTGAGCTATTTCTCAAGACCCATGACACCATTTTTGCTAGCAGGCCTAAAGTCCAAGTCTCCGAGTATTTGTCATACGGTACCAAGGGCTTGGCTTTTGCACAATATGGGTCATATTGGCGCACTGTTAGGAAATGGTGTACTTTGCAACTTCTCAGTACATCAAAAGTCGAATTCTTTGCACCGGTGAGGAGGACGGAGCTAGAGTCTTTGGTTAAGTTGCTGAAGAATGCCGCGGCAGCAGGCGAGGTCGTCGACCTCAGCGCCAAGGTGGGAGAACTAATAGAGGATATTATGTATAGGATGATCATAGGCCGCTGTAAAGATGATAAGTTCGACTTGAAGCCGCTTATTCAAGAGGGCCTCAGGTTATCAGGAACTTTCAACTTGGCTGATTTTGTGCCTTTCCTTGCTCCACTTGATCTTCAGGTATGTCTTCACATACACAACTGATCTCTTCTTGCTTGTCTTTCCATGATTTCAATCAAGTTCTACACGGTCTAAAGCAATTTTTTTCTCTGTCAAAGTAAGATTTAACCCCATAAGCTTGATCCCCAGGGTCTGAGACCTCGCTTTGAGACAGTAAGAAAGGGCTTTGACAAATTCTTGGAGGAGATAATTGATGAGCATGAACAACGGAGCAAAGGGCAGCAAAAACAGCACAGGGATTTCGTGGATGTGATGCTTTCATATTTAAATCAGCCCATGAATCCCAACGATGAAGAGCAAACATACATAATCGATCGAACAAATATCAAAGCCATAATTCTTGACATGATTGCAGCTGCACTCGAAACTTCGGCGGTAGTCATTGAGTGGGTACTAGCAGAGATCATACGACACCCGCGAGTAAAATCTCGTCTCCAAAAAGAATTAGAAACTGTTGTTGGGATGAATAGAATGGTAGAAGAGGCAGATTTAGCAAACCTAACATACTTGGACATGATTATAAAAGAAAGCCTAAGGTTGCATCCAGTTGCACCATTGCTGATTCCACATGAATCCATGGAGGACGTTACCATCAATGGATATCACATACCGAAGAAGTCACGGATCTTAATAAATATTTGGGCAATCGGGCGAGATCCCAATGTATGGTCGGAAAATGTTGAAGAATTTTTGCCAGAGAGGTTTGTCGGTAGCAACGTAGACCTTCGAGGACATGATTTTCAGCTCATCCCATTCGGATCAGGTCGTAGGGGATGTCCAGGACTGCAACTAGGGTTGACGACTGTTCGCCTTGTTCTGGCCCAGTTGGTGCACTGTTTTGAGTGGGAGCTGCCCCACGGCATGTTGCCTAATGACTTGAGCATGGGCGAGAAATTTACGCTTACGGCTCCAAGGGCCCAACACTTGCTGGCCAAGCCAGTTTACCGTCTACCTGATAAAAGACTGTAAAATTAGCATGGGGAAAACATAATCAAGAAGTATCAGAGAGTCCTGGATACTTGCATTTTGTTTTTATTTTTTGGGGAATCTAGGCATGTAAGTGAACAACAAAGTTAGACTCAATTAAGGAAATGATGTGGTAGGTTTCAAGAAATATAACCCTTAATTCTTCACTTTTTTTGGCGATTATTTGATCCATTAATTGATAATTACATTTAGGATGATATCAAGAAATATAAAAATAAAAGGATTTAGGCCATGTAATTAGAAGAAAAAAATAAACCGACTTTATTTTATTTGACATCGAAGCTGGGTATTTTAGACTACAATCTGTCTTGATAAGCAAGAAAGAGCAGCCCACTTAATCCTAAGCCTCATAACACATGGAAAAGGAATACTCCAAACCCCGAATTAAATCCAACAAGGATTCTTCAGTCCGTTCAACTATATATACCACTATTGCCTTTACTTCCTTCACTTTTCATCATCATAATCTCGACGATCGTATTACATTAATATTTAGAAGCTTTTCCTTGTGATCTCCGATTCATCCATTTTTTTTCCTGTCACTGGAGCCGTCTGATCTTGAAGCTGTTGCCCCCGCCGCCTCTGCTGCAGCCATGGAGCTTGATAGTTCTTTCCAACATACCTATCGGTGTTCTGCATCAAGGGTTGAGTTTGGCAACAGAATTCTGATGCCCCTTTCTGCTTTCGACTCTCTTGTTGATAAAGGTGTGGAGTCTCCATGGCTTTTCGAGTGCAATCCTGTAACAGGCAAAACTTCTCACTGCTGAGTCCTTGAGTTTACTTCCGATGAGGGTTTCGTGTTGTTACCGGCGCCTGTGATGGAGTCCATGGAGCTAGAGGAAGGAGAGCTTGTAACACTAAAGAGTGCTTCTCTTAACAAAGGAACCTTCTTGAAGCTTCAACCACATACCAAGAATTTCATGCAACTCTCTGACCCCAAGGCGGTGTTGGAAAAAGCTTTCAGAGATTTCTGTTGCTTGACTACCGGAGATACTATCATGATCATGCATAACGACATCAAGTTTTACATCGATATCGTTGAAGCAAAACCCTTTTGGGCAGTTAATATCATTGATACAGATTGTGAAGTTGATTTTGCTCTCCCATTGGATTATGAACCACCCCGAAAGAAACAGAAAAAGGCTCACGTATTTCAAAAACAAGAGCAACCTATCCAGGAAGCAACAGTCAAGTTCAAAGCGTTCAACGGCAAAGCAAGGCGCCTCGATGGAGAACCTGTGACAGAACAGGTTGCAGCTGGTGATGATCACGATTCGATGATGAATGCTGAAAAAAAGCCATGCGAATCAAAGAAAGGTGTGCTTGGTTCCAATGTTATTCAATCTCAAGAAGACTCAACGGGTGAACCATCGAGAAAGGGTAGGCGAGGGGAAACCAATATGAAGAAAGGAGCAGTAAAGTTCCAGCCATTCACCGGAAGAAGTTATAGGTTGATTTAGCAAAACATTTTCTGAATTCGCTGCTTACTTTTCCATGAAAGATACCTTGACCTCTTAGTTTATTGTTTCTTTTAACCTTTTGGTTCAAGCTCTTTAAGGCTATATGTAAACTACTAATTTGGTAGTATAAATATTAAAAGATTCTAAAGACCCTACTCTTGGAACATTTTTGAAAGTTATCATATTAAATATTATTTGTTTTGCGTATATTGAAATTCATAAAAAATAACTATTAATTACTGCATGAATATAAAAATATTACTACAAACAATAAATTATTATAATTTTAAAGAGTTCTCTTAGTATATTAAATACCATTGCATGCATTGGAAAAATTAATGCTGTTGGACAAAATCACTCTGCTATCAGATCTTTTATACTCTAAAATTATAATTAAAACTTATTGTATATACTTATACATACTCAGAAATGTCAAAGTCTTAATTTGATCTTTCTTTTTTTTTTTTAATTCTGCCATTTTAGTCTCTATATTCTAATTTTAATAATTTTAATCTTATACTTAAATTAAAAGTCCATTTTAAACTGATAACGGTATTAAATTTCTACATTTAAATTTAATGTCGCATGATTTTTTATATTGATCACGTGATATATTAACTTAAACTTTTTTTTATCATGTGGCATGTATTAGTACAAAAAACTTTCTTTTTAATAATAAAAATATTTTTTTTGAAAATTTAAAAAGTTATCAAATATTATTTAATTAAAAAATAAGATGATATTTTTTAGATTGTTAAGCGCCACATAACAAAAAGAATTAGTGCACCTAAGTACGCTAAGCCATCACCGAAATGTCATATTATTCAAGTTAAAGGAAAAATCTTAACACCAGTTATCAATTATCCTTAAATTCGACTTCTAATAAAAATTGTGGACTGAATTCATCAGGATTGAAGTAAAAAGGCCAAAACTATTAAATTTAAATAGTAGGAGGATGAAATTTAAATTTTAATATATGCCCTCAATTAGGTCCTACCATTTCTCTTACCGTTTTTGTATTTTTTTCTTTGGGGGTGCCTTTTCGTCTGGATTTGAGATTTTTTCACAAATTTATATCTTTTTTCCATTTTACTCCCCAAATTTCAATTTATCTCAATGGTCACTAAATTTTTTAAATTATACCCAATATGATCATCTTGACAGATTCAGTTGAAATTAATTATATAATATTGACATAAACTTTTCAAATCTTTATGTTATCTAAAAAAAATACAACAACCTTCACCCCCCCCCCCCTCTTTTTTTTTTTTTTTGTCTATCTCAATTTCCTTTTTCTCTATTTTCGTAGGACTTTTCATTCTGACAAAACTTAGAAGAAAAATGATGAGAAAAAAAAGGGTTACAAAAATTAACATAAATATTTTTAAAATGATGTGGTTGTTTAAGTGGTTTTTATATTGTTATTTTATCATTTATTTAGAAGAAATCACCATCTAGCCAAAAGATATGGGCCCATCATGTCACTAAGGCTAGGGTATGTACCCACAATCGTGGTGTCATCACCCCAAGCGGCGGAACTATTCCTCAAGACCCATGACGTTGTTTTTGCAAGCAGGCCCAAAGTCCAAGTCTCGGAATTCTTGTACGGTGGGAAGGGTCTGACATTTACCGAGTACGGTTCCTACTGGCGAAGACTGCCTCCTGGTCCCCGAGGCTTACCTATCATCAATAACCTGCACATGTTAGGGAAGCTTCCTCACCAAGCCCTTTATCACCTGGCCAAACTATATGGTCCCATGATGTCAATTTGGGGAAATTGTTAACTTCTAAAACCAAATACACTAGGGTTAGGCTTGCCAAACAGCTTGCTTAGTTATACATATGAAATGTGTAGTTGCAGGGTAAGGACATCCTTATCCTTTACCTGAACAACAATGTCTCCTCCAGCAGCAGCTCTTGTCCAAGTCCTTGGATTTCTCTGCTCATTCTTTTACATTCTATCTTACATCTCATCAAGGCTAGATGGAAGAGGAAAACGGAGACTGCCTCCTGGTCCCCGAGGCTTACCTATCATCGGTAACCTGCACATGTTAGGGAAGCTTCCTCACCAAGCCCTTTATCACTTGGCCAAACTATATGGTCCCATGATGTCAATAAGGCTAGGCACCGTGCCAGCCGTTGTGATATCATCCCCTCGAGTCGCTGAGCTTTTCCTCAAGACACATGACACCATTTTCGCAAGCAGGCCACAAATCCAAATCGCGCAAGTATTTTCATATGGTTTCAGGGGCATGGCTTTCGCAGGATATGGATCCTACTGGCGCAGTGTCAGGAAGCTGTGTAATGTCCAACTTCTTAGTGTATCCAAAATTGAATCATTGGCACCGATGAGGAGGGAGATGGTGAGTTTGTTCGTTGAATCTTTGAAGAAAGACGCAGCAGCACAGAAAGTGGTTAACCTCAGTGAAAACTTGGGAGAGCTAATTGAAGACATGACTCTGAGAATGATCATAGGGCATATAAAGTATGATCAATTCAACCTCAAAGAGCTTGTCCAAGAGCTTTCGAGCTTATCAGGAGCTTTCAATCTAGCAGATTATGTACCTTTTCTCGGTGCTCTCGACCTACAGGTATAGGATTTCACCCGTAATGATATCATTCAAGGCTCCTATGAATCACTATTTGTTTTGCAACATACGAATTATTGAAAGTAAACAACTATTTACTTTTTCCGTTTGTATCACATTGCCTTTTCACTTGAGCCATTCCTTTCTTCCTCCTTCCATATAATTCTGCCTCTCCCCAAAGACATGAAAATGCTATACTCTACATGCCGGGTTCGGTATAAACAAAGTTCCATTTCTTTGTTTTCACTGCAATCGAAAACTTTAGACCATAAAAACAAGCAAACAAAAATACTTAACTATGGTACTTTCTTTGAACTAAAAAACTCATGAAACTGAATGCCCTTATGTAGGGACTCAGACCGCGAATAAAGGCAGCCAATGGAGCACTTGACAAAACCCTCGAGAAGATCATCGACGAGCATGAGCTGAAGAATATTCATGAACAGCAAAAGCAACAGAGGGATTTCGTCGATATGATGCTTACCATGTTAAATCAACCAATGAATCCCCATGATGATCCAGTGTATATAGTTGATCGAACAACCATCAAAGCTATGATAGTAGACCTAATTACAGGTGGCTTGGACACTGCAACCACCGCAATTGAGTGGGCAGTGACGGAGCTCATAAGGAACCCCAGGGCAATGCAACATCTCCAAGAAGAGTTAAAAACCATTGTTGGGAAGTATAGAACGGTGGAGGAAATGGATTTGCCAAAACTAACATACTTGGACATGGTTGTGAAGGAAACTCTAAGGCTTCATCCAGTTGCACCATTGTTAGTTCCCCGTGAGTCCATGGAGGATACAACTATTGATGGATATTACATACCAAAAAAGTCGAGGATCTTGGTGAATGTTTGGGCAATCGGGCGAGACCCTGATGTTTGGTCCGACAATGTTGAAGAATTCTTTCCAGAAAGGTTCATTGATAGCAATATAGACCTTCGAGGACATGATTTTGAGCTCATCCCATTTGGAGCAGGCCGTAGAATATGCCCAGGAATGAAATTAGGCCTAACTACTGTGAAATTTGTTCTGGCTCAATTGGTGCATTGTTTTGATTGGGAGCTGCCTGATGGCATGTTGCCTGAAGAGCTGGACACCAGTGAGAAATATGGTCTTTCGTTGCCAAGAAGCAGTCACCTCTTTGCCAAGCCAATCTATCGCCTGCTTGAGAAAAGTATGTGAAGTACAGCACCAACTCAAAAGCACATATGCCCAATTGAGTTTCTTTTTGGATGCCTCTGCAGATGAAGAATAAGTGAGACGTTCGAGAGAAGCTGGAAGAAATCAGAAATCCTCTTATCTTTGCTTGGTGTCTCATTGGGCATCTTGTTTCATAAATTTTAGGTCTTAATGTTTTATAAATTTCTGTTGGCAGAGGGAGAATTGCAGTTAAAAGTGAGCTGGCTAAGAGAGGAATTGTTCATAACAATACATCTCGTTGCGTTTTATGTTTCAAAGAACCGGATACGGTCGACCACTTTGTTTTTTTAAATATCCTGAAACATGGAAAGTATGGGCTGCTTGGTGCAAATTGTGTGGGATATTTCATGGGTTAGTCCTCATGATCCATCTACTTTCTTTTTCAGCATTGGAACTCTGTGCATTTTGTTGAGCCAAATTGTGAAATCTGGAAAATGAGCTTCTTTGCAATTATTTGGTCCATATGGTTGGCAAAGAATGAGGTTGTTTTAATGGTATAACTATTGGGACAGTGTGCAAACGTTTGAAATTGCTAGGATAAGAATTACTTGCTGGTCTAAATCTAAATGGAAACAAGGTTGTCATGATTTTGAAAATTTGTATAGATGTCCTCAACAGTTTAATGTTGCTGTTAAAAAAGATAAAAAAAAAAATTGTTTGATTTGGTTATCGATTATTGGATTTTTAAAATTTAACATCAACCGTGCAATGTGGGAAAATTCGACAAAATACGAAATTAGAAAAATTCTTAACGATAATCAAGGATGAATCCTTATTAAGTTTTCTAAAAATGTGGGGCTTGAGGTTGCTAATCAAGCTGAAGTTTTAGCCATTAAAGAGGTTTTTCTTTCTCATAGTCTGATTATTGAAAGGGACTCAACCTCAGCTATTAAATGGACTACGGACCCTTCTCCGGCTCGTTGGAGGCTGAGAAACGCACCAACTCAAAAAGCACGTGAAGTGCAGCACCAACTCAAAAGCACAAATGGCCAATTGAGTTTCTTCTTGGATGCCTCTGCAGGTGAAGAATTAAAGAGGGGTTTGAAAGAATTCTTTTTGCTTGGTGTCTAGTTTGGTATTGGTTTTACTTATCATTTAAGATTTATAATTTAAAGTTCATAATTTCTAATTCAAAGAGTTTAAAATATAAAGTTTTAGAAATAAAGGGTTTTTTTTTTTATGTTGAAAGTGTTAAATTAATTATATGATGTAAAATTATAAGAAGAGATATCAAGTATGAACAAAATATTTTCATTCCATCGAAGAAGATTTAGAGAGAAATTATCAAGAAATAGGAAGTGATTAAAACTTAATGTATCCAAGGATTATGAAGTTAAGGTTTTGTATTACTCTTTTCGGTTTTCATGAAAGTTGAAAAAAAAATATTATTTTTAAGTTATATTAAAATTTTAAATTTTTTATAAAATTGATTTTAAATAGTTTTTATTATTAGAAAGTAAAAATGATTTTGAAATATTTAAAAATAAAAATAGTTTGTATTAGAAAAAAAAGAAAGAAAATATACTCCTATATTTGTATCCAAAATCTAACCGTACAAAATCAAAATTCACTTTGCAAAGTCAATAACTAAAGTCTAGTAATTAACACAAAATCCAAAGCACAACCCAAATCTAAATTGCTTGAAACGCAAATTTAAATTAATTTAACTTAAAACGTAAATTGAGAATAATATTTATTCTTTTCATTTTACATTTCACTTAAATTACAATAAAATTATTATTAGAAGTGAATTAAACTCATACTTGATCTCAATTAAAAAGACAATAATCCGAGTTTGAAACTCAAAGCCAAAATAATCCAAATCGAAAATGATACAATTTCAAAATATTGATAATAAAGTCGACATAATGAAATTATAAAATAAATAAATTCATGTTTTTTGAAATAGATGAACCTCAATAATCTGTGTTCTTGCGTCCGAAACAATTACTTGAAAACAACAGAAGGAAAGAAAATGTTTCCAATGAATGAAACGAAGTAGTATAAGTCAGAGCTTAAATGGTCTTCCATGGAACTTTCATTGTTGTTACTACGATTATTTTATTCACCTTCCATTCCACGCGTCTTTACGTAATTTTACATTGACTTCTTGTTTGCATAGAGAGTGACTTTCTTTGAACTGCTCCTTCATCTCCAAATTCAACCCCATGGAGAAGATTCATCCTTCTTAGCAGATAGATGGTTGTATCTTGAAATCCCAGCACCCAAATCACTCTCAATTTCTCATCTGATCAATTTTGATAGAGGCGGAGAGAGAGAGAGAGATGGATTCTGATGAACGGCCACAGCAAGTAACAGGGGTAGTTATAATAACTCTTCCACCATCTGACAACCCTTCTCTAGGAAAAACAATCACAGCTTTTACTCTTACTAATGATGTTTTCCCTCAATCTCACCAAACCCAACAACGCCAACAACAAGAAGAAGAACAGACTTTGCCAACAACCCAGATTCTAACACCAGCTCCACCTTCACCACAAAACCCTCAGCTTGGATTCTCATTCTTGGGACTCTTTTCTGATAACCCAAGAAAGCTATTAGGCTTTCTGGGTATCTCCCTCTTTGCTCTTCTTCTTTACAGTTCTGCTTTCTCTAATACTTTTGTAGAATTAAGGAATTCCAACAATGATGATGATGAAAAGCCAGAGTCTTTTATCTTCCCTTTGTATCACAAACTGGGGGCTGATTCGGAGCTCAAGTTGGGGAGATTTGTGGATGTTGATACGGAGAATTTGGTGGCTTCAGTTGAAGGTGGTGCAACGGGAACTCAGAAGATCAACAAATTGGTGGCTTCTAATGCTGCTGTAATTGATTCAGCCGGTACTATTTTGCCTGTTAGGGGCAATGTTTATCCGGACGGGTATGCATTGTGTAACTCTTGCTACTTCTCTAACTTATTTCTTTATGTTTTTGTCTTAGAAACTTGAGAGATAGATGTCCATTTTATAGCAATTCAAGTTTTTGCTCGTTGTGCTACTTGTGGTAAGGTGCAAATTGTGAAGCCTTAGAATCTGTGTTGGATAGTTGCAGACAACTTTATAACGTTGCTTTGTTTTTCATTTGAGAGCCATGGATATCAATGTAATTGCCTTACTCTATATCATTAGATTACTCTTGTTGGATTCAGTCATTAGGGGAATTGTAAGAATGCTTCTTCTTTCCATATCTATAATAATTATTCACTATTTTGATAACCAATATTTTGCATTTTCAACACTAAACAGAAGTAATGTTGTCATGCTCTCTCTTTTTAAAATTTCCTGCATAAACTCTTTACCTTTTGTTTTAACCTGTCTTCTGCAACTACAATTTAGAAAGATGGTTACATAAATGCTCAAACCAATTGCAGAGCATGTTTGGGCATTTCTTTTGCAAAGATAGAAACAGTGGCATTAGTAATAGATCCTGCAGTTTGGAGATAATGCTTGTCTTGAAGAGTTACCATTAACTGAAAGATTAGAAAAGAAAATATTTGTGCAATGATAGTCCTTGTGTAGTTCCATCAAAGATTGACTACAGAGATACATAATGGGGGTGATTGTGGGTTTTGTAACAAGTTGTCAACTACCTGATGTTAGAAGTAACTTGTATCATATGCTTAATGTTTCATTTTCTTAACTAGGATTTTTATAATGTTACAGATTGTACTTCACATACATGCTTGTTGGGAATCCTCAAAGACGTTATTTTCTTGATATTGATACTGGAAGTGACTTAACATGGATACAATGCGATGCTCCTTGCTCCAGTTGTGCCAAGGTAACACGTTTCTCACTACTTACTAGTCTTTATGGTTGTGAATATACTGATGGGATCTGTAAGGAACCATTAGTTATCATTCGAGAAGCATATTGCTAGCTGATTTAACAAATGCCTAGTTGTTCCTTGGCTTATTGAGTCTGATAGTATTTTTAAACTCTTTCACAAATTTTCATCCTTCCTTTTGTTTATTGAGCAGATATACCAAATAAATATATTTGTCCTGCTTTTCCCTCTTTCACTTCTCCTTTCCCTATTTTTATCAGGGCTTTTAGTTTGTTTGGTTTGGTTAACAGTGTTAAAAATCTCTTTAATATCTCTTTTAGTACAAGAGGGGAATTTTAAGCTTCACACTTAGGATCTCTACCAAATCCCCCACTCATCTCAAAATGGTATCTTACATGATAGTATTTCTTGAATTTTCCTTTAATTGACCATAGGGCTAGAAGGCAAGTATTGCCATATATTAAAAAAATGGAAGTGTTAGCGATTTCTGTCAATTTTATTATTAAAAGTGCACCTTCGCCACATTGAGCAAAGAAAACACTTAAAACAGATTTTAGATGGAGGGAAAATAAGCTTTTATTAATATAATGCCGTCAGAGAAGAACAGACCCTGTAAATGATGTAATTCAGCCTTCTTTTTTTTTTATCATTCTTGCGATAGGGATCATCTATACTCTAACGGATACAGTTGATGTAGGGAGCAAATCCTCTATACAAACCCACAAGAGTAAATATCGTAGCATCCAAGGACTTAATGTGCACGGAGGTACAGAAGAATCAAAAGCCTCAAAATTGTGAAACCTGTCAACAGTGTGACTACGAGATTGAATATGCTGATCGTAGCTCCTCCCTGGGGGTTCTTGCAAGAGATAAACTTCACCTAGTGACTGCAAATGGATCAACTACCAACTTGGATGTGGTTTTTGGGTAACCTTTCTCACAAAACTCCCTATTCGTACTGGACTGCTGAGTATTTTATCTATCAATTCTTCCAGCCAATGTGTGAATAAATTTTTAATTTATTTGTCTTCAGGTGTGCATATGATCAGCAAGGCATACTTTTGAACACTCTGTCAAAGACAGATGGAATTCTTGGACTAAGCAGGGCTAAAGTTAGTCTGCCTTCTCAATTGGCAAGCAAGGGAATCATTAACAATGTGGTCGGTCATTGCCTTGCAACAGATGTTGGTGCTGCTGGATATATGTTCTTAGGTGATGATTTTGTGCCAAACTGGGGCATGTCATGGGTCCCTATGCTTGGAAACCCTTCAACGTAAGTAGAAATCTCTGGAAATTTGCTTCTTGTTTGTGATTCCTTGAGGCATTTACTAGTTTTCAATGTCGACATGGGAAATTCATATCTGAAGGATTCAGATGGTACAGAATGATCTTTTGATTTGTAATTTTTTGCAGAAATTATTTACTTCAATGTTTTTTGACAAGGCCAAAAAACAAAGGCCAGAAATTGATACTAAATTTCAACCTAGTTTACAAAAGCCTATCCACCTTAACTATTCCACTCTTCACTATTTAGTAAGAAAGGTTATTTTTGGATATATATATATCCTTACAATGATAGATGCTATTTAATATACATGTCAAAATCAGCTTCTACCCTAGTTTTGACCAGTTTCTTTGAAAGCTTTGTACAGTCACTTGATTTAACAATTTCTGCATCTTGTATGTTTGCCAATCATTGCCTCTCCCTCCTTCATTTATTCTCTTCTCCTTAATTTTTGCATCATGTTTATTTGCCAATCATTGTCCCTCCCTTCTCCTTTTATTTTCTGCAATTCCTTATCCTGCTGTTTAGGTCCACTTCAGCTTTGACTTCTTACTTATTTCTTGATTTTATCTTACCTTCAGAGAATTTTACCATACACAAATTGTGAAAATCAATTATGGAAGTAGCTCCCTCAGTTTAGGCAGACAACATAGCAACATTGGAAGAGTTGTGTTTGACAGTGGCAGTTCTTATACGTACTTCACGAAACAAGCATATGCCGAATTGGTTGCTTCTGTATGCATTTCCATCTTGAGCTTGATTGAAAGTTATATAGTTGTTTTTTTTTTTAGAAAGCATTGCCAACTGATTATATCAACTATTTGTTGCTTGATGCAGCTTAGCGAGGTTTCCGAGGTGGGATTTATCCAAGATGTAGCAGATACAACATTGCCAATGTGCTGGCAAGCTCCATTTCCTATCAGGTAGCATATCTGTTGTTGTTTTAGTTAGGTACATTTTTCTCATCATATTTTCCTTGCTGTGGAGAAAATTTTAACATAGCCTATTTCTAATTCTTTTTCTAATGATAGAAGCAACGAAATGCATTTTGGTTCCCGCAACTTATATTTTTATTGATTTTCCTGTATTTAGGAGGCTTTGCTCAAAAATTTCAACAGTAATACTATATCATTGCACTTATATTTGCAATGCTTGCATGAGAAAGGAGGCAATTGGTTTTCTTTTGTATGGAGATGAAACGGAGAGATGATTTTTTTCTTTTATTTAGTACTTAAACTATTGATTTTATCGAGCTAAAAAGTTTGCACTTGCATTTGCCACTACCACCACAATCACATCACATGGACTACCATCTGAACATGATTATCATCTTTGGGAATGGTCATTCTAACTCTTTTATGACTTTCTCCATGCATTGGTCTTTTAATGCTTCCAGTTGTTACATAGAGATAAATCATTTTAGTTTTGAGAGATTAATGTGTTTGCACAAAATTTTGTCTCTCCACACACATTCATAGAGTTATTTCATCATTTTATTCTTATTAATCCAGGTTAAAGCTTTAGATTCTTTTTCCTAGTAGATTGGAGTTTGTACGCACATGTGTTTCTGACTGAGAAAGAGAAGAAAAAAAAAATACTATATTGTGCATTTTCTGGGTGGTAATAATTGTATCATTTTGCTGGATTAGCTAAATGGCTCAAGTCTTCCCCATTCAGCAGCTAGATAGGTTCTATCAGCCCTCCTTGGACTAAAAGCAGTTGATATTGTATTTGATACACATCTCCTTTCTGTGGAGCTCCACCCATTCTCTGTTACTCATAGTTGTCCCCTTTCCATTTAACATTGTTCCATCTTGACTGTCACTACTGAAAGGTAACATATTTGTTTAATTTCCCATTTTAACCTTTCATCATAACCACTTAAAAGCAATGGGACACACCAAAGAAACAATTTAACACCTAACATTCTCGTGATACTAACACGCTTGTTTAGATACTATGTGACAAAGCAGAGGGGATGCAGGAGGTTTTTTATGTTTGGCTCAACAGTCTTCCAATTCTAAGGATGCTTTTCATTTGTGTTTTATTATGGAGCATGAATGGTTGTGGAAGAAACATAATTTGCTCTCCGTGGCTCTAAAACTTATTCTTGAAAGTAGTTTTTTTCAAATATTTAAAGACCGTTGTAGTCAAAACTCTCCTGCAAACTTGGTCAATAAATTAATTGCATGAGTTTAGTGAAAAACAGCTGTTTCATTAAGTTGCCTGTTCAGGGGCACTAGATTCCCAGCACATATGTTAGCAAGATACTGTTTTCTAATGTGTCATTACTTTAAAGAGGTTAACCATCTCCTAAATGTTGCTTCTCTGTGGATGCAGATCTATCAAGGATGTTAAGCAGTTCTTCAAGACTTTAACCCTTCAATTTGGGAGTAATTGGTGGATTATTTCCAAGAGGTTTCATATTCCTCCAGAAGGCTACTTGATCATTAGCGTAAGGACTTCCCCAACTACGTGATTATCAGTGTACAGGTTAGTGTACTCTGGAAGGTGGAAAGCCCATTTTGATGTAATTTCCTGTTTTGCAGAATAAAGGTAATGTCTGCTTAGGCATCCTGGATGGAAGCAAAGTACATGATGGATCAACAATTATACTTGGAGGCAAGTTTGGCACACCAAAACCTTTTAATTCTTCATATTATTTCGGTTCATGAGTTCTCGGTAAGCCCAGTCCTTGTTTTGAGAATGTTTCAATTCCATGAGATCCTAGCCTAATCTTTGAAATCTAATGCCTTCTAATGTACAAAATGTGTTATATCGGTAAAGTCTTCACTTCAAATTCAATCTATCAATATCTATTCCAACCACCGAAACTATCGCGAGTTTCTTTCTCAGTTTCTCTATCAGACAAATCAAGGGCACCTTCATTCTTGTCCTTCATAATGGTTAACATGGGGAAACTGTAAATCTGATATAGGTATGTGTCAGAATGCATTTCCGTTCCCTCTTGTTGAAGAAAATAAACTGTGGTGATGGGCAGGCAAAGTTTTTTGTTGTGTTTTTGTATAAAACCCCACTCCTTGTTAGAATTTCCTTTTATTTGTTTGTTACTTTTTCTTCTTCTTTTTTTTTTTCTTATTTTCGACCTTTACAGACATATCACTACGGGGGCGATTGGTCGTCTATGATAATGAGAAACTGAAGATTGGGTGGACACAATCAGATTGTGCCCAGCCAAGAAGATTCAAGAGCCTCCCATTCTTTGAAGGATAGTTTGGCTGCATGACTGCATTATAATACCACAACTACTATACTCATATCTGTACATTCTAAGAATACACATTTGCCCTCTGTAAATTTTTCTCACTTAATGCGTCTGCTTCTTCTAGACTATTTATTTGCCGAAATATAGAACATGAGTCCTTTAGTATCCAACTTATAGTCATCAAATCACAATTCTATCTATTCATTTTGAAATATGCTAAGCATCACAATTTCAAAGAGTAATGATGAATCTCATTTCGATTATGTATTAAAATAAAATTAAATATTTAAATATTCACATTATTTTTAACTCATAAAATATTTTTTAAATAATATTTTATAAAATTAATTGTAAATATCATTACCATAGATACTTTTAGCTATAGCAATAAGCCAAACCATGAGACTGAATCTCACCTTTACTCCCAAAAGAGAAAAGGGCCTTTGATGGTTACTATGGTTCATAGGGAATCAAGGCCTTCTGAGATTTTCCTAGACTTTGAATTACTTCCCAAGTGATACCGGCATATGAAGTCACTACTTTTCAAGCACAAGTTTTCCAATGGTCTCAGATCCAAGTTTAAAGCTGATATTAATATTCCCCAATTTAGGTTAGCTGGTTAATTTAATTTGTTATATTTGTTCTTTAATCCAGTATGTATGCATCAAGAATTTTGGTTAATTGTGATTCTGAAGTATGAGACAGTATACCGAAACATTTCCTTTTGCAAGCAAGAAGAGCATCATAACTAAATATAAAGACTGTTTGACAAAAGGAAACTCAGCACCTCAAATGAGAAAATTACATATATTTGCTAGTGAGTTTTCAAATTTTTAAAGGGTAAAAATAAAATTTTTAAAAAAAAAACCTGGAAGAGGTAAAAAAAGGAAAAGAGTAACGACATAATCTAGCTAGACATCATGACCTGATCACTTGATTCTAGGGCTTGGCCGGCAAAAAACCTGACATCAACATCAGGATCCTCGCTCAATTCAACCAAGCATGGCCGGATTGTCTTCTCCACCACCTGTAATTGTTCAAGAACAATATCAAATTATCCAGTAACAAAGTAAATCAGTTATGACGATAAATGGCTTCTCCCATTGCACTACTTCTAATGAGACAATAAGGCATCGTTTTAGACAAATTGCATTCGAGGAAACATCAACCGATTAAAACAAACTCACAGATGAGAAAAAAGAAGCAAGACAAGAGAAAAATAAATGAAAAAAAAAAAAACAAAAGGTGGCATCCCTATTAACATTACATGATTTCCATCCGGACCACATTTTTTTTCTTTATGTGCTATACTAGTATCCTCGGATAGGGAAAAAGAAAAGAAAAATGCGGGGGAAAGTACGAACAAACCTGCAAAATTTTCCTTAAGACGTAAACAAGACATGTTTTCCCTTTTTCTTTTCTTTTCCATGTTTGTTTCATTTGCCATTTTCATTTGACTTTTCTTTCACTTTCTTAAGATAACATTTTCTTTATTAGAAAGAAATCTGGTGTAATCACAATTAAGGTGCTGTGAAACATGTACCAATTCTCAGCACTGATGATAGATATCACACTAAGCACTTGACAAAATGGTTTTATTAAAAAAAAAATCAAATATTAGAACTCTACCACATAACAATTACTAAAATGAGAATAAATTTACTCACAGATTGATCAACAATAGGAATTAGCGACTGCAACACCTTGGCGACATTAAACTTGATGTTAGGTACCCTGTATCATGCAATTTTTAGTCTCATAATCCAAGTCAAAGAATGCAAACGAATAACCTTCGAATCAAACATCAGGATGCATCAGTATTACCTATCTTTTGAAGCATTAATAACCAAAGGCAGAAGATTTGAACAAGTAATCTCTGGGCCCATAACAGGGGCAAGTAGAGAAATTGCATGTAAAATGGTCATCCGATACAGATAATGAGGGTTGTTAATCATGTCCAAAACCTGTAAACAGATTTCCAGAAAAAGACATTGAAAAAACATCTTCAGATATCTCCTTATCTACTCAATTAGAATTATAAAATACGGGAACGAAATTATTGTTGCACATAAGTAAACTAACCTGCGGAACTATGTGCTGCATTGCCCATTGCGGTCCAAATTCTTCTGCAAGGCGCTTCACATTATTAGCAGCAGCATCACGAATCGAATATACCTACAATGAATACCAATGCAGTTAGCAAAGTTTTTTCTGTAATATTACAATATTTGGTTCCTAGTATCACCTCTTAAAGGTAGACTGTTAATACGTAAACAAAACCCAAAGCAAACAGAACAGCTGTTAGATATTGGTTTTTTCTAATATTCCAACAGAAATCATAGTATCAGAGAAGAAAAAAGCTTATACAAATTGCACAAGCATAATATTTCATGTACACGAACTTAACAACTAGGGAAAAAACACAAACTGCTTAGAACACAAAATCATTAAGGCCAACATCTAGTTGTGGATTCTCAAAATATGAAGGGAGCAATTCCAGATAGACATCCACATATATTTCATTATGAGACGATTAAACTGGGATAGAATCATAAAGAAAGAGGCACATAAACTCCATTGATTTTTTTCCCCAGTGTCAAAGTTCTTTGCACCTTATCTTTTAACCATTGCATGCAGAGTGCACCAAGTTTGTCATCGAAAAAGCCAACACCCAACTGACTTGCCAATAAAGGTATGTATTCTATTATTGCAAGCCGAACCCTCCAGTGCCTATCCTCTGCAAGCTCCACTATTGCAGGCAATAGGGACTGGGACAGTAGATCAATTCCAATCACCTGCAATGATAGGTATATTAACTAAACTGCATTTGGATAAATGAGAGAAATATTCACTAACTTGCTCATAGTAAGTAGTTTGTCCAACCGCCGCACCAAATCAAATGATTAAAATAGCAAGACAATTATTTAAGAAAACTGCAGGTGATAACTGCAAGTCAAGTATTAATGTAATCAATGCCACATTGGCACTTCAACTTAGCTCAATTGCTAAGAGTGGGGCAGGGTGGAGTTTCAGTAGAGATCCTAGGTTCGAGCCTCAATACTCTCATTTGCGCCAAAAGCATAATCCATGGCACATCACCAAATCCATCCCTTGGAGATATGTTAGCTGGGTAGGAACTTGCATAATGCAACAGCAACAAGAAATTTAACATCTTTATTCAAGAGAATTGACTGAGTATGGAGGAATTTCCACCATACTCATTTTAGACTGACGAACATGTATACACAAAGAAAGATGCATAAACATAGTGTAATGGCCTTATTTAGTCAGTCAATCAATCTAAAAGCCTTGTCATTTACTTTGATACATTTTAAACTGTTCAAATTGACAAATGTTGACAATCTGAATCCCTTAAAACATAAGTTTTTTGGCAAACAACTTTCACCAATTGCCACAGTATGGTCAGACAAGTAAATTCATAATTATTGCAATGAGATGGAATAGTCAATTTCTGGTGCTTCCTCCAGCAAGTAAAATAAAATCAAACTCTCAAACTTTAGTTTCAAACAAGGAGAGTCAGAGATTGAGTTAGCAGTTAGCCCAGTCACAGGTCTCCTTTCACTTCTCAATTGAACATAGAAAATATAAAAAACCCTTTTGTCCACCATCAATTTCCAAGCTAGTAGTTTGATAGAAACTGTAGAACAATATCACCCAAAGATAGGAAAAAATAGAAATAGAAAACGAGTAAAAACGTCATTACTTTTCTTAATAAATCTTAACTGAGAACTTAAAAATTATAACAAACCTGGTTAACTTGATCAAGCTTGCTAATGATATTCAATCTGACATCTGGAAATTCATCTTTCAGAAGAGAAAGAAATATGGGAAGCAATTGCTCTATGGTCGCATCCTACAACCATCAGTGGAGATTACGTTATATGCAAGGAAAAAACTAAAAAAAGTTCTTTAAACAGAAAAAAGGAAGAAATAGTTTGCAACATGTATAGCATGAATGTGATTTCAATTATAATGCAACAGAAAAATAGGAAGCAGTGCCTTCTAGAATCTTTAAGAGACCCAACAATAAAAAATCAGCAAGACCTCTAAACTTATCCAGACAACATGAAATGATAATATTTTTCCCAAATGGACAATTGTTCATGCATCTACCGTGCAATTTATAGAAAGAATGAAAAGCCAATGTCCCACATAAGTCTGAATAGAGCTTGTTATTCAAAAAAAAAAAAAAAACATCAAGCTGTAGGAAATGTTTTTCCACTAATTAGGTACCCAGGCCCGAGGTGGAACAATAATAGAGTCCTCAGTCAAAGAAATTGACAAATCCACATTATACTAACTTACATACTTGCAGCTAACATAAGGATGGCCAACCAGAAAATGTTGTCAGAACAGAAGATAAACATTTATTCAACAAATTAAACAGTTGTCCATGCCTACAAACATCACGCAACATATGCCACTTCCACATAAACAAAAAAAGTTCATTAAAGCTGGACTACCCAAGCACAAGCCACAGAATGTTTACCTTCCCTAAGACGGGTGCCATTCCCATTATTACTGAAGCCAAAGCAGAACGAACATGCTGGGATGAATCTGTTGATAGTTCCTATAGCGGGCAATATTAACTAATTTAGACATGACATAGCTAGAGCATGAAAGCTAGATCACTGCCATAAATGAGAAAAACCTTGGATGAAGTAGGCAATATTCCATGAGCATTTTTACCTTGACACAAGGAAGAATATGCTGAATTGCTAGTTCTGGACTCAGAATTCGGCAAAACTTAGTTACTTTTCCAGCAGCAGCTATTCGTACTTCAGCTTCATTATCACGAAGTAAGCGAACATACGCAGGAACTAGGTCCGACCTAAACATGTAAACCTTATAATATCATTTAATGATAAGCGCCATCACTAAAAGAAAAACAACATTCAAAGTAAATGTAAGAATGTAACAAAATCAGTTTTGAGTGGCCGAAGCAGGATAAATAACCTAAACCAATTGCATGAATTTTCAGATATATAAAGAAGGAAACAAGCAATCCATCAATAGAGATCGGGAGAAAGAGGAAAAAGGGAAAATGGAGGAGGGGAAACAGGTACAGCCATAGATGTTAGTAAAGCAACAGATATAATGATTTAAGCCACGTGATTGTAGAAATTACCTAGTAGGCTCTGGACCAACA